GGGTGGATCACGAGGTCAAGAGATCGAGACCATCCTGGTCAACATGGTGAAACCCCGTCTCTACTAAAAATACAAAACATTAGCTGGGCATGGTGGCGCATGCCTGTAATCCCAGCGACTCAGGAGGTTGAGGCAGGAGAATTGCCTGAACCCAGGAGGCAGAGGCTGCGGTGAGCCGAGATCGTGCCATTGCACTCCAGCCTGGGTAACAAGAGCGAAACTCCGTCTCAAAAAAAAAGAACTGAATTGCAACATTGACCCACAGGGCTCTCCTGGTCACCTACCTGGATGGCCACGTCTCAGCACTTCCTCTTCTTCTGACCATGGCTCCTTTCCTTGTTCCAACCTCAAGATCACGTTGGGTTTGGTGGTTTCCTCTTGTCCTGTTACAGAAGATACTGCAGAGCCTGGTGTTGGTGGATGTGTGAGTTGTTTGTGTAAGTGTGTGAGTGTAGATAAGTGCTTGTGTGTACATGTGTGAATATTTGTGTGTGAGTGTAAGCGTATGTGCCATTGGTTGAGGGGAGTTGTGTGGATGAACAGTTTGAGGGAATGCACATGAGCATTTAAACTAAGCAAAAAATGCTTTTTCTGGGCTGGGTGTGGTGGCTCATGCCTAGATTCCCAGGACTTTGGGAGGCCAAGGCAGGAGAATCACTTGAGCCCAGGAATTTGAGACCAACATGGACAAATTGACAAAGACCCAGTCTCTACAAAACAAAAGCCAAGCTTGGTGGTACACACCTGTGGTCCCAGCTATTGAGGAGGCTTAGGTGGGAGGATGGCTTGAGCCCAGGTCAGTGTTGCAGTGAGGTCAGACAGGGTGGCTCATGCCTGTAATCCCAGCACTTTAGGAGGTCAAGGCAGGCAGGTAATCTGAGGTCAGGAGTTTGAGACCAGCCTCACCAACATGAAACCCTATCTCTACTAAAAATACAAAAATCAGCCAGGCATGGTAGTGCCCACCTGTAATCCCAGCTATTTGGGAGACTAAGTCAGGAAAATTGCTTGAACTTGGGAGGCAGAGGTTACAGTAAGCCGAGATCACACCACTGCACTCCAGCCTGGGCAACAGAGCAAGACCCCACCTCCAGAAATCAAAATAAAAGATACTGCAATTAACTATGATTGCACCACTGCACTCCAGTCTTGGTGACAGAGACAGACAGTGAGAAAGGCGGTAGAGAGAGAGAGAGAGAGAGAGCGCACAAGCCAGGGAGGGAAGGAAAGATGAAGGGAGGGAGGGAGGGAAGGAAGGAAGGAAGGAAGGAAGGAAGGAAGGAAGGAAGGAAGGAGGGAAGGAAGGAAGGAGGGAAGGAAGGGAGGAAGGAAGTGCTTTTCCTTCCTGGAGGATGAAGTGTTTCCAAAAATCAGGACTGGGAGTAGGGTGAAGGGCAGGGCACCCAGCCCACTGCCTCCCAACTTAGAGGCCCTCATTCTCCAGGCACTTGCAGGACCCTGAGGATGAGGGCTCCTCAAATGCAGTACTCAGTACACTTCACTCACCTTACCCTAGTCCTGGCTATACAAAAACATGCAAAGTAAGGAGCACCTCAGCGCCAACCCTCTTATTCAGCAAGCCATGGGAGGTCTGTGAGTTTCAGACCTTAGGTTTTGAGTCCCCCTGCCCAGGATGCTGTCCTTACCCACAGAGACGAGGTTGCTGTAATTCTCTAGCATCACATCCC